TGAAGCCCACAAACAGCTAGAAAATACAAAAATGCAGCCAAAAGAATTTCCTGCTATGTCAGTGGTGAACAACAGAAAAAGATAGACTTTTGTGAGCACATCTACCTTTGCTACAGGCTACTTTTTGTGTTTTGTTTGGCTGTTTTGCTAGCATGAATCTTGCTAGCATTGCAGTACACTTGTTTTTGCGGTTATCCCACATAAAACTCAGCCTAAATCACATTTATATCCACTCAGCAGGCTTCCTTATAGCCGTGCAGGCCTCTATGTGCTTCCACAGCCCCCAAGTTGGGCCTTTTAGAAAAACTGAGGAAACAAAGGTCACAAAGGTCGCCTTGGGGATGTCAAGACAAATTTTTACATTCGTTAAAATGACGAATGAATGAATGAAATAGTGTAGAATAGTGGCGTTTTGATGTTTTTAAACTGCGTTTTCCTCATATCAGCGAGGTTACGTATTGCAGCCTGGAATGAAAACAGAGCAGTTCAGTAACAGTGAGCCCATTGAGCTTCATCCACATCCTGTTTGTGAGGTTCCCATGAAGGAAAGGTCACTGTCATGTTTGGCACGGTTCCAGTACAACCACACTCTCTCCAGCCCTCTGAAAGAATGAGATGACTTCACAGGACACGTCTGGATTCGGGGCATGCAGCTGCTAAAAACTGCATCATTATTAGGAGTTTTTCGGCATCAGTTCTGCTTTACTGACCGACTGTTCGCTGCAAAAAAAACGGGCGTCGACTCACGAGCTGCAGCGTCTTATCCAGCCAGTAATATGATAATGACAGTCATGATGAGGCACATGATGCAATGGCACATTTCAAAGCAGTTGTTGAGTTGAAAACAGACCGACAGCGGCTTGGAGCGAGGCCAGCCGCTCAACCAGAACAGTCTGCTGCACACGGATCGAACATCACCGCCGGATCCATCTGCATTAGTTCCATCAGCGCTGTCGCCACACCTTTCACGTGTGATGCATTTCCCAAACTTGCTGCAGTCAGCTAAAGCGTGCGAGACCGCGTGCACTGGAAAAGAAAAGTGTAACTACACGACTGTAAGAAGAGGTCGTTTCAGAGGCAGATATCAGAAAACTGCGGCTGACTGTGACCTTTTTGTATTTATCCACATCACCTGAACAAATCCGCAGCTCGAGGCACCAAACATCAGACAGGATCTCTGCTTGTTTTACACCACGCTTGGCTTAGTGGGAACTTCTGCATGTGGAAAAAGGTTGTTTTAGGCCTTTTTGTGGCTCCAGAGGGAGCTGATGAATGTAGTCAAGTGATGTCATGTTAGTCAGAAATGCACCAAAAGTCTACAAGTTGGAAAAAGAATAACCAAAGAAGTGAAGTTTGACCTGTACAGCTTCATCTCTGATTGAGGTTAATGGCTGGAAGTGTCATTAATTGCCACGAATATAACAAACTTAGATGTCCAGCAAAAATATTGGTGGTTGCACTGCATTCTGGGTAATGTAGTTGGCATGTAAAAAGGCCTACTAGGATAGATAGATAGATAGATAGATAGATAGATAGATAGATAGATAGATAGATAGATAGATAGATAGATACTTTATTCATCCAGTAGCTCACACACTAGCTTCATTTAAATAAAAAATAATGTGGAAAAGAACATAATCATGCTGGTAGAAGAAATAAGGTGCAGAATCGTCCTATTTCACAATAATAAAGAGGATTAAAAAGTCTAAATACAGTATCGCAACTCAAATAAGAATGATAATATGTCTGACAATGTTATATACGTGCAAAAAAAGTCAGTGCACTGTTCCTTTAAGATTGGAAAATAGTGAATATTAGCAATAAAAACCACCCAGAGTCCAATGTCACAACTTGACTTTGCTTCTTTTTGTCGGATTGACAATCCAAAGCTGAAACATATGTAATATACAATGACATAAAACAGAGAAAAATAGGAAATCCTTCCATTTTCAAAGCTGGAACCCAAGAATTTTAGACAATTTTGTTTGATAAATAACAATTAGTTGATTCTCTAAGTTAAGAAATGAAAAATGTTGCACCTAAAGTGGACAAAGCAAACAGTTTCCATCCTAATCCACCTGCTCCAGGATGAGGTTTTTCTACAGCTATGGTGCAGAACGCTCTGAATACTGCATTAGAGCTCAAAAATGAGAGAAACTGTGGAGGCATGAGGTGACATTTGGAGGAGCTGAGTTGTGTCTGTGCAGGGCGGAGCCTGCAGCAGAGCAGCAGTTGTGCTGGAGGCCAGAGCTGCTGGCCGACCGGCAGCTCAGTGGCAGTGGCTTGAAAACAGAGCGGCCTTTGTTAGCCGGGGGATGCTGGGAGTCCTTGTGACCAGAGCTGCCACTCCCTTTTTGGAGAGAGGGCCCCCGGGGTGACTCGAGGGAGGGAGGACGGGGGTGAGCGGAGGTGGCAGACTTCCCCCTCCAACCTCCTCCTGCACAAAAACAAGTGGCACTAGCAGCAGGCATGGATGATTGATTACACGGCCGTGCGCTCTGATTGGTCTCCTCTCGTGTCTGGTGGGTCTGGAGGCGGGCTGCTGACTTTATTGTCCCACCGCTGAATGCTTCCCCCCTGGTTTTGTTGTTCAAGCTGAGCTGAACCGATCCAGAGAGCAGCAGCAGCCGTGGAAATGTCTGTTTCTGCTGTGACACATTCTGAGCTGCTCCATTTAGAGAATGTGCACTGCAGAACTTTTTCCCTCCCCGCATCTTGATTTCAATATCTTCTATATTTCCGCCATCCCAGCTCTCAGCCCTCTGTCATCGCCTGCTCCCTCCTCCATCCACACTGCGTCCTCGGTGTTTATGCAGAAGAAGAAAGCCAGCATCGGTTGAAAGACGCTGCACGGCCATGTGTTCCTTATCAGAACGAAGCGCCGAAAAGGCCAAGCAGAGGCTGCTGTGTACATTTGGCAGATTCAGAGTATTTATGTTTTGTTGCATGTGCCAATCCACCCCCCCTTTATGTGACATTTCCCGAAACGTCTTTCATCAAATGCCCTTAATCCTCCGTCCCATCGAGCCAAATCGGATACTCGCCCTCATAAGCGTATTTTTATAGGAGTCCATTAAAATCCCCCCAAAAAAGCAAATCCGGCTCCGTGGCAGCTTTTAAATGAGCCGTTCTCGATAGTTAATGTTTTAAATGTGCAGCGACTAATCATCTTTATTGTTTTTTTTTTTCTGCAGAGTGACCGTCTCCTGATCAAAGGAGCCAAGATTGTGAACGATGACCAGTCCTTCTGCGCCGACATCTACATGGAGGACGGAGTCATCAAGTGGGTTTGCTGGGTTTTAATAGAGCTGCTGGTAGTTAGTTAAAAACGGATTACGTTGACGAGCTGACAGAGAAGCATCTGTGTGACCTCGCTGTCATTAGTGCAACACAAACACAAGAAAAGACAAAAATAAACAGTGGAAATGCAGTGTTTTCTCCACCGTGACAGCATATGCAAACAAAAGAAGACGTTGTGCCAGGCGGCATGTTCTGTATTCTGCTACAGAACCATATAGTAGACAAACTATAGAACAGTTAGACAGAAAAGACAACAAAATATGGAGCTGGATACTCAATTTAAGATAGTCTTCCACTGACAGAAAAGTAGATTTCCATTTTCTCTGAGCGTTTTTAAGGACTTTCTGTCCAGACTGATCTACTAATTGGACCCTGAGTGAAGTTTTATTTTTCCGTCTGCAAGAATCAACGTTGAATCTTAACAAAATATGAACTTATTTCCAACAAAATACCACAGAAGAAAAAAAATACAAGCCAATAACTGGATGCAAACTGAAGCTTATATAGTTCATCAATGTTACAACACACAACCTGCACATACAGATGAATCTATTACAATATCCCTGTAATACTAAGCCAGCTTGTCATTCTGAGCAGTTCTGCATTTTTAGATTTGTTTATTACATTTTTTTAAAGGTTCCATTCTGCTGCATATTTTCAAGTCCTTACGGCAACTATTCTGTAAATTCATGAACTTAAAATAAAGAAAACCTTAATTAATTATCACTGTAACTAAAGCTGGAGTAGGCAGTAAAATCCTAAACTACCCTGTCAGCATTTTGTAATTCAAGTGGTCTGAGAGGAAACTAGACTTTTTTTTTTTTTTTTTTAACCTTCACTTGATTCTGTTTTCAGATTGATGGTAAATTTTAGCCAATCACAGCCCATGGCAGTCTTTCTTTCAGACGTTTGAATCTCATGTGAGAAAACAATCAAATGTTCACTTTAAATTTGATTATTTTTGCAAGTTTAAAGCACATTCTTGTCTGGTTTGAGGAGGAAAAGAGAAGAAAGTTTAACATTTTTGGTTTATTTTGGTTGCTTTTTACAGATTTCTACCTACTACATCTTTAAAAGTCACAACTTTGGGACACTTAATGTAAAGATGAACTTTTGATGGTTATAATACATAATTGTATGTTTTTAAAATGTAATCAAAAATATACAAAAATACCTCTATATGAAATGGGAGTAATTTGTAGTTATGCTAATGAACCATAAATGTTGTTTTCACACTCTTGAAGCGGAATTTAACAAAAAATGCATCCATATTCCTGCTAATATTCTTTAAAAGAGACCAACGATAATAACAATAGCTGCAAAAAAAAAACCAAAACAATAATTGATGCAGCATGACAAGAGAGCAAAGGAAAAAAAACAACAACTAAAACCTACCAAACTTTAACTGTTAAACATTAAATAACTACATTTAATGGTAAAGAGAGGGGGTTTAAGGTGTGGGACTAAGTTAAAAAAAAAAAAGACAAAAAGGTAGAACCAGTTTAAACAATTGTCCTTTTATTAAATGTAGTCATACCGGTGGTAAAAACATGAATAATGACAGTAGAAGGTGTAATCCATTGATGTTTAAATGCTGTTTACTTTCTGTTCTCAGACAAATTGGGGAGAACCTCATCGTTCCCGGCGGGGTGAAAACCATCGACGCTCACGGTCGCATGCTGATGCCGGGCGGCATCGACGTCCACACGCGCTTCCAGATGCCCGACCGAGGCATGACGTCCGCCGACGACTTCTACCAGGGAACCAAAGCCGCTCTGGCCGGAGGCACCACCATGATCAGTGAGTCATTCATGAGGAAGCTCCGTCGGTCACTGTGGTGGCAGATCTTTCACTCGGTGGCTTTAATTGAAAATTCCTCGATGAGAGCCGGATAGGTGCCAGAAATGTTCATGGTGGAGCCAAAATACGAGGGAGTCCATCTGCTCGGAGCCTCGAGGTGCTAAATACTGGACATACTGAGTCAGAAAGTGAACTAAGTTTGTCTCTGGACACATGAACACTATTTAAAACAGCCTGTTTGTATGTTTGAATTTTAATCTTGTTCTTGTATTTCTAATTTGGAGTTCGAAGTTTCATAGAAATCTCAGTCCACTTTTTATCTGTGTGCAAATCCTGCTTATATTTTGCCATGTAGAGGTGGGTTCTGATCATCAAAGTTGGTAAAGAACTCAGATTAAGTCACCTATCTATTCTCATTTTCTTACCTAATCTAAAACACATCCTACCGTACGCTATTAAATCCTCCCTAGCAGTGGCTAATTATGTTATTTTAAGCTGATACAAGACCGTAAAGATTTAAAAAGGTGTTGTAATGTAAAAAGAAAACACAGCTAAATGAAAACCTCATGTCTAAATGTCACACCGGCCCTCCCTGCGCTGACTCAGCAGCAGCACCGTCCTCTCCCTGGCAGCAAAACAAACTCTCCCCGCGAGCTGTTGTCGCCTCGGGCTGAGCGCTGCCCGACTGACTGCAGACCCACCCAGGGTCAGACGGTCTGTAATGCAACTGGTGCCATTTGAGGCGACCGATGGAGACAGATTTTATACAATTAATTAGATTATACGCCATGTTCCACGTGGACCAGCCTCAAAAAAGGATCTAAATCCTCTGTGAGCATAAAAACAGGGCTCCTCAGTTTGATAAAGAGGCTGTTTTTTGAGATTTCCAGAGTAAATAACTGATTATTTATTTGCAGAAGCAGCTGACAGATGAATCAATGATTTAATTAAATAGCTATTTGCAGTGATGTGAAGCGTGTGTCACAAGACGCTGCTCATGAAAAGTAACATCTTTGCAAACATCTTGAGTCCAAAAGCTGAAGCTCTGTTGTGGAAACTGTGAGCAGATGCTGGTTTGTGTTACGTGGAGACGCATAAGTCACGTATGTGGTCATTTTTAAAGATCAATTTGCTCCACTAAGTGGTCACTGGAGACGCATTTGGTAACATTTGGCTCCCAGGTGTGAGCTAAATCTGTCTCCGAGTCGGCACGACATCGATAGATGGATAACAGATAACATCCAATACGAGGCGGCGGTGTTTGTGTTGCTGTTTAACTTCGTCTCCGTGTGTGTTTTTGTGCGTCCAGTCGACCACGTGGTGGCTGAACCCGGCATCACCCTCATGTCAGCCTTCGAGCAGTGGCGCGAATGGGCCGACAGCAAGTCCTGCTGCGACTACTCGCTGCACATCGACATCACCGAGTGGCACAAGGGCATCCAGGAGGAGATGGAGACGCTGGTGAAGGATCACGGTGAGAAAAACACACATGTTCCACCAGCTCTGCCTGGATCCATACAGGGACATTCATAGAGTATCCCTGTTAAAATAAAGGTCTGAAAACATACATTCCTTTTAAAGAAAAGGATCAAATATTCACAGTTCTAAAGGCAGCTTTGTTCACTTTGTTCTGGCAGTGACAGATGTTTTAAAAAAAAGATTCATATAAACCAACATCAGTCCTGCACATTTATGTTTAATAACACATTTTAAGATCAAAGTTTCCCAAAAAACACATTTAAATTCAAGCACAACATGAGAAGGAATACTGTAAAGTCACATTTTAATCCCTCAAATTAACATATTTAACCAGAACAAAGCTCAGATGTATAAAACATCATTCGCTGCATGTCCCTCTACTGTCCCTGTCAGTAGAGGCTACACATCCCTGAAAACATATATTTAATTAAAGAAAGAATCAAATATTTAAAGCTTCTAAATGCACCTCTGTTCACTTTCTTCTTGCAGTGACAGATCTTTGTTAAAAGATTCATACAGATCAACATCTGTGCTGCACATTTATGTTTGACAACAGATTTTTTTGGGAGTAACGCGTCCTAAAAACATATTTAAATGAAAGTTTGTGAAGGATAACAGTGAAGTCGTACTCGATTCCCCTTCAATGAATGTTTCACCAGCTCTGCCTGGATTCATACGCCGACAGAATAACGAGTCGTATAAAACACCTCGGACCATTTGCTGCACGTCATTTCCTGATTCTCTCTGTCTGCTGTACTTGCCAATAAAGGCAAAACATGTCTGAAAACTTTTTTTTTTAAAAAGAAAGACTGAAACAATCTAAACTTCTTGTTCCTTTTGGTCTGGCAGTGATGAATTTTGGAAAAAGATGAACATAAATATACGCATATGCAAAACACATTTATACTTCTTATATGTATTCATGTGTGTATTTATTGCTGAAGTTATTTTTAGACTCTTACCTTTTTAAATCTTAGCACCTTGTTGTTTTATAAAAGGGTCTATAGTCTTATTTATACCACAATGAGCCACTGCAAGGTCATTATATCTGAATGTCCAGTCATGTTTAACTTAATCTAAGTCTAAAGTCAGTCCTGCACATTTTTGTTTAACTACACATTTTTAGATTTAAACATCATAAAAACACTTTTAAATTAAAGTTTATTTGCACCTTTTTGCATCAAACAGCAGAACAAGAGAGAAAAGAGACAATAAAACCCACCAGCGGCCTCTAGAGGCTGTAATGTTCACTGCACCCCTTAAACCAAAGTCAAGTTACACAATACAGCTGCCTTTGACTGAACTTTAATTTACAGATTTATCTTTAGAAGCGATGAGGAGCTTCTCTGTTGTCTTTATGCTTCAGGGTTTGGTGCAGCAGAAGAGGTTTTGCAGGTTTTTAAAATAACTGCACTTTGCCCAACTTCTGGAAAACATTATATTTTACAGTTTGCTTTTCTCTTGGCACGTTTTCACAGAACTTCACAATCTAGTTGATCCATGACTTCAGTTCTTTCATTCTCGCGTCAAACCTCCCTGTTTTATTGCACTTTGAACGTTTCCATCTTGTGTTCCTCAGGTGTCAACTCCTTCCTGGTCTACCTGGCTTATAAGGATATTTTCCAGCTCACTGACTCTCAGGTGGGTCTTCTTCTTCTTCTTGTCAGTCAAATCTGTCATTCAGTGCTTTTCTGAGAAACAATTAGGAGTTTAGATTTGCGAATCGTGCATCTCACCACGCTGCAGGAGATAAAGTCGTTAAATGAAATCACATCTTTGATATTCGGGTGAAGTTTTGCACATTTCGTCTTGTGCATTCTGCTGCTAAGTAACAGTGCTGCAGCTCCTCCTGCACTAAATCAGATTAAGCTGGGAATTAATCCTTTAACGCGACACTTGCTGCTGCACCAACAACCAATCTGCACCAGCTGCTTCTGGCCTAATCATCGGCGTTACCGTCAAATGTGCCAGAGGACTAATCGCGGTACAACAAAACAAGCGCAAATTATGTATTTATCAGCTTTTTCTGGCAACGCAGTGACATTAAAACAGTAAGTCTGACATTATAATATCCTAAAAAGTCATATCTCAGGCCTAATTTTGGCTCCTGCGGTTGTCCTACAGTGCGAGCTACAGTGTGAGTCTGTTTTTCTTGGCCGGCTTCGACTCACACTGATTGCCTGTTTGTTTCTTTTGGGAGAGCGAGTCTGTAATGAAAGCCACGTCTCCGTGCACCTTCTCGCTCTGACTCACGGTTCGAAATGAATTAATCTCCCACAGAAAGCACTTCTTGAAGCGGATCTGTGATGATCTTTGCACCTGCGTGAGGAATCCTGGCAGCGCGGTGCAGCCAGAGTTTATCATTTTCTGTCAAACTCTGATGGCTCCTTATTGTTGCGTGTTTGGCAGCGTGGAGACGATGACTCACTCAAACACATCGCTTTTCCTTCTGTCTGTAAACTCGCTGCACAAACAATCAGACTGTGGGAGGCTCCCATAGTGTGTGAGAATCAGCGTCCACGGCGCTTTAGACCACACAAGTATGGGGAGTATAAACTATTCTTTGGTCCTGAGTGTGATTAGAGAATCCATTAAGCACTTCTGGAAAGAAGAGTGTATGTTGTTATAGTAGTTAATGAGCCAAATGAAAGAAAATTTAGCAACAATTTTGCTAATTGATCGTGTTTTAAAGTAATTTTTCAAGGAAAAAGCTGAACTTTCTCTGACACCAGCTTCTCGCGTGTGATAATTTGCTGCTTTTTTCTGTTTCGTATGATCCAAAACGAGTATTTTGGGGTTTCTTGCAAAAAGCGAGCAACTTCTCTAAAGACAATAAATGTAAAAACAATAAAATTCAAAATTAAATTGTGATTAAAATCATAGCGAGCACTGTGAGCACAATGAAAAAAGTGTAATCTAAATGACGATGGGTAATAAAATGCATGTTTAACTCTTCTTAATGAATTAGAATTCTGCAAATAATAAATAAAACCTGTAATATTTTGTGACTACAGTGAAGAAATAGCTAATTTCCTCCAGGACAGCATGGCTTTGCAAAGACAAACAATAGCGAACATAAAACTTTGTGCTGAACTCTAGTGTGAACATGCTAATGTGTTCACAGTGACTGTGTGAAGCAGGTATGTGTTCGATTCACTTTTATTTATGTTGCACCAAATCCTACAGTATTAAATGAGAGAGAAGCTCCCCACTGAGTCGCACTTGGCGACGGCTTGAAAGAAACATTTCCTTTAACTAAATGCGTCCAGATTTATAACCTTACTTCTTGGTTGAATTGCTCTGGAAGTATTCATTTCAGTGAGGTGAAGGCGAATCTAATGAAACTGCACGACTTGACCTTCCTAACAAAGCTGCTCGTGTTCGTGATAGAAAATAATCTTCATTTATATCAGATTTATTCTGCTGCCCCACACCCATTAGTCTTGTTTGACTCCCTCGTGAACCCGTCGCTGTGTAGAAATGTTAATAATCAAGATCTGTAAACATCGATGCAATGCAATCATTACATATGTATTTTCCAGAGCTTTGTAATTATGCATGTTACGTATTTGTATATATCAAAAATAATAATGATATAAACACAAATCAAACTTCTTCAGTGTTATATCTTTCTTATTTTTCCTTCCCCTATTTTTCACACACAGTTAAATATGTCCCAAAGCCCCCATTGCTACATAACGTATGCCTGCTCTACTGCATATCAAAATGAACTTCTTGTTTCTGCGCCAAAAACCAATCTGTTTTTGAAATTATTCCTGCATTGTCTCCAACTTAAAGCTGGCGTTACATCCAACTTTGTATAAAAAATAAACACAACGTAATGGCTTTTCTGTGTAAAGTTTTGGTGAAAAGACAAACACAGGTCACCGTTGTACATTAAGGCGGTGGTGGTCCAAGACTCTGGGGGGCCTCAAAGCAAATTGGCCACTGGGGAACCCCTGTTTGGGAGTTGGGTGAGTCAGGGGGCAAACGTTTGTTCACCACCTCTGCAAATGTAGAGAGACATTTTTCCCAATTTCTAAGTTAGATTGTTGTGATTTTGTCACATTTCCTCGCATTGTTATGAGAAAATATCTCAATTGCTGCCATTTTGTGGGGAGATATGTACAAAAACGCAACAGTTTCACAATAAGAAATGCTTTTTTCTGGGATATAAATGTTAATATAAAAAAAATCTGCAAGTATTGTCAGGAAATAATGAATAATCTGGAATGCCTTGACTCTTGTAAGAAAAAAAACAAGACATAACATGCATAGCCAGTCTTTACATTGACCAAAATAAGAGCCTAAATATAAATGTAGTCAATTTAATCTATAAAGTTTCATAGTTATACGCTTATGTACAGTATTTATTAACATGTCACTGCCTCACAAGCTCCGGTTCTGTGTACTCCAGTAGCCAAGCAACGGCATTTAGTTGCCAGATTCATGATTGTGTTTTTGTGCATTGACAATAAAGAAAGTCTAAGTCTAAATGGCCTGGGGCTTATGAAATATAGAAGAAGAAAACCTCCAGCAGAACCCAGGTTCTTCCACTTGGTTCCATGTGATAGCATGCTAGCATTTGGTAATTAGCACTAAACATAAAGTACAACTAAAGGTTACTGGAGTATCATTGTTTTTCGAATTTTAATCTGATGGTATATTTTGGGTCATTTCACTCAAATCTACAAATTCAAGCACAGTTGATTCGGATTCATCTTCTGGGGGATCATGAATGGCTGCAGAAAATCTCATAGACATATCACATTGTGTCTTTTCTACTTTTTTAGATCCAGGACAGTTTTAGCGCTAAAGATGTTCATAGAAAGATGAAAGAAAAATGACTTCCCTCAAGAAATGCATCATACATGCTGTCTCAAAAATCTGCCAAATCCCAAAGCCTGATGTCTGTCTGCAGTCTCAGCTAAATTTAAGCTTTTCTTTACCTTAAATAGTCAAGGATGCATTCAGACAGCTGAATATGAGCACAGGTTTTTATGCACAACATGCCAGAAATCGAAGAAAAAGAGGTGTTATGCTTGTTTTCCCCCACACCACACCACAGCTGAGTCATCAGACATAAACACTAGAATTTAAATCCTAACAGCGTCTTCCCCTCTGCTGCAGGTATACGAGGTCTTCAGTGTGATCCGCGACCTCGGAGCCATCGCCCAGGTTCACGCCGAGAACGGGGACATCGTAGCCGAGGTACGCCGCGACTTCCTGCCACATTTTGCACTTTAAAAAAATGGCATTAAATGGAATATAAAGCTCTGAGCGTGTCAAGGTGCTGCTCAACGCCCGAGGCTGTGACTCATCACTTTCTCCACAGCCTTGATAAAAATGTTCGGGGGTTCTTTAACGACCAACAGATGAGGAGGAATACTCGCAGAGGCCTTGGCCAACGCTTCGCTCTCGCCTCATGAGAAACACCTGCACATGATTTAACTGTTTTCCCACGGTGGTGTGTGTTTTTTAGGAGCAGCGTCGCATCCTGGAGCAGGGAATCACCGGACCCGAGGGACACGTGCTGAGCCGCCCTGAGGAGGTGAGGCCGGAAACACGCCACTGTGGATGCAAATCTGAACATTAGGTGAAACGTTGCCTTAACGTCGGGGCGAAATCAGCTCGTTTCCAAGCTGTGTTTTGCACAAGTCGCCGCTCTGACCTTGAAATTGCTCGACAGCTTTACATTTACACTCTGGCTGCTGGCAAATAACGTCCTCTTAACACTCGGCCCCCTGCTTGATTTATGTTAACGCTCCTGCATTGACTCATTATAGATAAGAGCTCATCCTTCCTACATGAATCAGTGTTGTTACACAAGAATAAGAGAGTGAGGACAGCTGTGTTAAATAGCTTAAAAAGAGTTGTTTTTCTACTTGAATTGTTCCTTCTTCTAATTATTATCCAATTCCTAAGGGAAGGTAAAATAGCGATTTATCACAGCCCGAGGGGGGAAAGACAGAAAGAACGCAGCCGTGGCGAAAGCTCTCCCGGCTCACGCTAATCCGATCTTGATTGTAATCCGTGGTGTTATTTTTAATGATTTCTTTGAAAAGTTATGAACACCCTCGGGCGAAAGAGACAGAAAAAAAAATGTCAAAAAAGCAATACGATCCAAAAGGAATTATAAAAGAGTTGGAGAATCACCGTGATCCTTCTTCTTGGAACATTCTGTCATTTCAACAAGTCTCCTCATAAGTGTTTTACCTTTTTTTTTTTGTTGCTATGATGGAAAACAGAATTTCAGTTAATAAATAAAAACAGAAACACACTTAAATGAGAAGTCGAATGTTTTATATAATAGTCTTTTTCTTGCCAAGAGTTACTGAGAGCATCGATGCAGCTGATATCTGTCAGTTAAATATGCAGCTACGGCGATTAGCAGGTAGCGTTAGCTTATCTTATAGAATGGAAACAGAGAGAAACAGCTAGCTTAGCATTGTTCAAAGGTAAAACTTACTGATATGATATTAATCTGACATTTATTGATATGTTAGACTGTGTTTGGTTAAACTGTACAGAAAATTAAGGGCAAAAGTGACACAGTTAAGCTCGCTACTAGCTGCCTCCAGTCTGTGTGCTAAGCTAATTGTGCTATTTAGCATATAAACATGAGATTGGTGTCAATCTTCTCCTCTAATTCTAATGTACAAAAAACAAATTGACTCAAATGTTAAAGAAAAACTCCCTTTGGTGAGGAAATTTCCTTTATTTAACTCTGCTTTTTGCAATTTTCACTCCTGTCACATTATTCACTCATAATTAACTCATTCTTTGCTGCAATATAAAACTCTGCACCTCTTTGGAAACAATGCAAGCACAGTGGCTCCATAAAGATATTTGACTTAAACTTTAATAACACACTACTCCCACCGCTCTGCACCACAAACCTAAAAACATGTTTCACCATGCTGAATGTGTCTTCCAACAACTCGCTCGTCTGCATGCTATTTTTGAGCCATGCTGCATTCATTTTATCAATAAAGTCTGCTTTATTTCTCTCTGATTTGTTTAATTTCATGTTGGTCAAAGTCAGTCATGGCTTTTCAGTTGTGCCAAGGAGCCCAGAACTGAGCTGTTGATTTTAGATTTGCTTTTAACTAACACTAGAATAAAGTGATTTTGATGAAATGTCACAATTTTAAGCTTAGATTTGTTTTTGTTTTTTCTGACGTAACTGTACATTATACATGACTGATTCAAGGACTGTTGGAAAGTTGAGTTTTTTTTTTTTCTGTTTTTAAAATTTATCTTTCTTAGTCACCAGTTTCTTTTGGGGTTCAGAGGGTTAAATTGTTATGTATTGTTTATTTCTCTAAATTAAATCCTCTTTATGCTTTTAATTGCTTTTTTTTTTTTTATTACAGTTGGCTTGATTTTATTTGTCTGCAGTTTCTATAATTCACAGCAAAGTCTGAGAGACCATTAGCTTCTATGCTAATGTGCTAAGAACAGTGGAGATAATACGGTCAGACAGGAGAGTGATGGAAATGGAAATAAAGTTGGTCTTCTCAGTGAGGATGGAAGAAGAAAAATGCTGTTTTTCCTCCACTTTTATCTGCTCCATGTCTCAAAGAAGTCTGGTTTGTGCTCCAGGTGGAGGCGGAGGCCGTAAACCGCTCGGTGACCGTGGCCAACCAGACCAACTGTCCTCTGTACGTCACCAAGGTGATGAGCAAGAGCGCTGCCGATGTCATCGCTCAGGCCAGGAAGAAAGGTGAGGAGCTAGAACCGAGTATCTCTGTTGTTGTGATAATAAACCTCCCATCAGGTTTATTCTCACGGTAGATTTTTGACAGAAAACAGTCGCATCATGCATGCAGCTAAACCTCCTATAATGATGCTATAATGGTTCCTCACTCTCAGGCACTGTGGTCTACGGAGAACCAATCACCGCGAGCCTGGGAACAGACGGTTCACACTACTGGAGCAAGAACTGGGCCAAAGCAGCCGCCTACGTCACCTCCCCTCCCCTGAGCCCCGACCCCACCACACCAGACTATCTCAACTCCCTGCTGTCCTGGTGAGGCCTCGATCTCGACGTTCAGACTGCAGAATGCTTCGTGTTCTGTCTTTATTTCTTTAACTTTCTTTAACTTTCTGTGCAGTGGCGACCTGCAGGTGACAGGAAGTGCACATTGTCCCTTCAACACCGCGCAGCGCGCCGTCGGCAAGGACGACTTCAGCTTGATCCCCGAAGGCGTCAACGGCACCGAGGAGAGGATGTCCATCATCTGGGACAAGTGTGTGGTAGGTCCATTTGTTCTCTGTCTACTTCTGATAACAGACACATCCATATAGTCTTATTTATGCAATATTTTTATATTAACCAAAAAGCCAGTTAGCATCCTTTTTTTGGAATTTACACCTATTTTGCTTGCGAAAAGAAAAACTGTAAGACTTGATTAGAAAGGTGACATCCTCTAGTGTCTAAAAAAGTGCTTGTTTATTGTTTGTCGTGTGAATAAAAGTAGCTTCAGTGAGTCACCAGCAACCTGGTGGCTGTAAAGAATCTTTAATGTAGAAGGTTTAGTTTTTATTTGTTGTTCGAGGCCAGATTGCTAATTTGCAAAACCCATTAAATTAAGAAAAAGACATTTGTTGCAAAAATGTGAACCACGGCCATAGAGAGCGGACACAGGAGATGCTGAGCAGAACATTGATCGCTGCAATATGAACACGTGCAATAAACACATTGCTAAAGACAGCTTGAAATGCAATGAAGTGATTTTTTATTCGCTCATGTCGTGCATTTACACTCAACATGCTGAGTGGATTAAACGCCAGCTAGCAGTTAAGGAAAATACCAAAAGATGTGGAAAAGATGTGGAAATAAATAATTGAAAGGGAGCAACAGGGGAAATTAAACTTTAATTTCTCAAAGCTGTACTGTGTAATTTAAATTAATGTTCTGCTTAATTGGTTGGGTGCACAGTTCTTTCAATTACAAATGATTTTTAAAGTTTCTTTATTTAATGTGTCTATTAAAACAGAAAGACACATAAACTGTATGACTAATACACTTCAGTATAGATTAGTTCTTTCAATTGCAAGTCATAATATCGTCATCTTATTGAGCAATGCTGTCACATGTCATAGATTTGCCTCATATTGTGCAGGTTTGCACAAAAAAACAGACAAGAAAAGTGGAAAAATTGAGCTACATGACACACAAGCAAAAGTCACGTAACGGTAAAACACGTCTGTGCAAGAACGACTGAATAAACACGCAAAAAATAAAGAACGGTTGCAATGTGACTCACTCTCTGCTCTGATTTAATTTCAGGTGACGGGTAAAATGGACGAAAACCAGTTTGTGGCGGTGACCAGCACCAACGCCGCCAAGATCTTCAACCTGTACCCCAGGAAGGGCCGCATCGCCGTGGGCTCGGACGCCGATCTGGTGCTCTGGGACCCGGACCTGACGAAGATCATCTCCGCCAAGAGCCACAACTCGGTACAATGTTCACTCAACTAATATACAACACATGATACGATTAAGGCTTCCTGCTGTTTAGTGGCATTTAAGGCCACTCGGTCACAGACAACACAGACAAGTATGTAGACAGAGTGCAAATAATGAATCCATCCTGAAACACAAAACAGTCTGCTAATTAATTAGTAATTCTAACTCATTAATCTTCATTAAAGATTATGTTCAGCTGATTGATGCAAGCAGGACAGTATGTTTGGAGCATTAACAAGGCTCTACACATGTGGTCGGTGAGGTTTTCTGTCCTTGTGGCTGTTTTCTACTGGAGAAACCAACTAAGACATCTGTCTAAAGCACACTTATTACTGTTCCTCTGGGTTATTCTTATAGATTCATCTGACATGAGTTTCGGCATCTAATTTGTCTGCAGCTTTGAGAAAACCCATAAAAATTATGCATCAAAACATGCTCAATCAGGAATGGTGTGCTTTGTCTTTAGGTAGCGATTTGTCAAGTCGTTTTTACGAATTTCCGAAAAAACTGCATTAAAAATCCCCATTGAAATGAATGAAAAGTCGGCCGGACAACTGCCTAAACCCAGCCATCTTTGGAACCCTGTTGCTCTGGCATATTTTACAGTAAAAGCTTTATTCAAAGTTTAAATGGGTCACAGCACTTTGAATATTAATTGACCAAATCTGTGTTTTGATATCTTTTATGGTTTTTATGCAGTTGCAGTTTAAGTTTGAGGAATTTTTGTTTAATTGAGTGGATGAATTTAAAAAGAAAAAAAAAAGTGCAGTTAACTTTGTGCCCTTCTCACAATTTTGACTCTACATGAACAGTTCATACATACAAATGTAGGCATTTCTGTCCTCTTTCACCCAGTGTGACTCTCATTGCTGTGGGACTTAAAGTTTTTGCATAAATCACCTCAGAGCACAGAGTGTGCCGACCAAACCTCTCACTGACTCCCATTATGTCTCTGAGCTCCAAAATTTTGTGTGAAACGGAGGCTCTCTTTAACCTGCCATCAAATCTGTAGAATACACAGCATGTGCATGAAAATACTAAATCCTATTCAAAACAAGATTGTGCTTCACACGGTGAAAGAATTTTTTTGATACGATTTAAAGTTTTTCAGCTGTGAGCGTTTGTTTGAGGGTCTGCTTCTTAGTCTTCTCCCCTCTCCTGACTCTTCCACTGAAAAAGGCGGGAATCACCACAGCAACAAGTGAGTGGACTAAAAAAAAGGCTCCAAATATGGCCGCCTGCACCAGCAATGCATAATGGTTTGGTGTGCTTTTCTGGCAAAAGCTACATTGGCGCACACTCAAAATTTCTTCAGAAATGTTCCAGTTTTATCTCTGTTTCTTCCCCGGTTGCGTCATGCGGCCTTAAATTACCGTGCAGTCCTTTGGGTCCTCGGTGAAACATGAGCAGCACACATCTTGTTAACGCCTTAACGGATAATTTGACATTTTGGGAAATGCACTTAGAAGAGCAAAGTGCTCTTCTCCAAGCGGTAAAATGTGGAGGCAATTTCCCGACCTTAGCCTGCAGATGAGAAGTGTCCCTATGAAGCAGTATGTCGTGGCGTCCAATCTGATCTACTAAAACTAATCTCACAGCTTGTTGCAGAGGTTATTTTTGTACGTCCAGTGTACAGTCGGCCACCTTATAGCCTCTCAATCGCTCAAAGTATCGCTGTTTTGTTCCTTTCTGAAGGAAAGAATCGAGAATAATTCAGTGTATGTAGCCGGTGACAGATGGAGAAACTGGTCCACTTTTCTGCTGTTTGGGATGGTTTTATGGCCGTCTGACTGCTGAACAGGGTGTGGGCCTCACACAGCGTCGAGGGAGTGATGTCATCCTCCAAGATCTGCCAGGGAACTGGAACACATCGGTTCTGATTGTTAGCAGGCCGATCGCAGTGCGCCTGCATCTGCCGGAGAGAGACCGTCGCCGTTCTTGGAATCCGCTCGCTCGATCTCGTCATGTTCTTTGGTTTTTTATTCCGCTTGGTCAGAAAATGACGGAGCGACGTTCATGGGAGAAACTGCTCATTATGAGTGTGTGTGTGTGTGTGTGTGTGTGTTGTACTACTGGTGATCTCATTTCCAGCTCTTGCCAGATTGCCATGACCTCAGCCTCAGCTCCGGTAGCTTTTAGGAGAAAGCAGTCATAAGGCTTCACACAGCAACCTCCACACCCTCCCAGTCCGCACACAAACAAACCAGCTACTTCAGTTGCCCCCCACTTTAAATGATTAGCTCTGCTTTCTCTATCGGCATTAAACCGAAGGGAACACTTTAAAAGCTGTGCGTGCTAAATCAGCTAAGCTTCTTTCAACAAGTGCACTTTAATCCACACATTCTGGCAATTTTGCACGGCGGCGTCACGTGCGAGTCCATCTCTGGAAATGTTTGTTCAGATAAAGATTTTTCATAAATCTGAACTCAAAAGGGCACACAACATGTGCTACAGGAGGTTACATCATCCCAGCGATAGGGGAAAATCCGCTGGAGAAGATGAATCACCGTATCTCTGCTTTGAAGGTAGTTCTGTTGTGATTTAACGCGCTGGCACCCGGCGTTAGGAGGTACAAGCACACGAAATAAAACATCTGAGGAACACAGCTGTCGGCCGTCGGACAAGAACTTCAAATCAAAAAGCAGAAAATAAAAACAGGAGACGGATAAATGTGTAGAAATGTCACATCTGCAGCGCCGCGCCACGGAAAATTAGAGGAGAAATTTACACATTTTGCATTTTTAAGCAAGACTCGTAGCTTTGATGTGAATAATTGGACTCAGAATGTATCATAAATTGTGTGCATCGAGTCGTTTAACAAGAAATGTTCTGCTGCAGGATGAGTTTCATTACAGCAAAGTGATACACAAACAAAATGATGACATAAATAATGATAAAACCACTTAAATAAAAAAGCTTTTATGCAGGTTCTGCTCAAGTCAAACCATCGCCTGAAACTTTGTAAATTAACAGAACTCAAGGGTCAAAACATGAATGTCAGTCGTTTGTACCAATTCAGCTCAGTTTTAATTACACGGCGGCTTTTTCAAGTTATCTCAGGTCACCTTTTATAATAAGGTTGATACCTTTTAATATTATATTATAGAGAGAAAAGCAATAAATCCAGTATTTCTTTTTGAGCAGCTCTTTGGTGACATTGGGAGAAAAAAAACAAACTTTTTAACGTGAAGAAACTTCCAACAGAACCAGGTTCAGAGACGGCAGCCGTCTGCCTCGACTGGTCGGGGTGATAAAGATTAGCAGAGTAAAACAGACAAACAATAAACAAGCAACTGCAGATTAGAAATGTGGAATGCTGGTGTCAGAGATACCTGCAGAGAAAAGGAGGGGAAGACATAAAGTCAGTGTGGGCAGAGAGGAGAGCAGTGCATCATGGGAAGTTGAGGCTTACAGCAGCATAATTAAGGGATGGTTTGAGTTCACCTAAGACCAACTATAATCTTTGTCAAAAAAGAAAGTTTTAAGCCTCATCTTAGGAGTAGAGATGGTGCCTGGGAGCCGATTCCTCAAGAGAAAAACCTGACGGATCCCATTCTGCTTTTAGAAACTCAAGAAACCACAAGTACGCCTGAAGTTCCAATCAACGGAGGCAATAATTCTTAGTGTTTTACCAACATTTTTGGGCATTGCTGTACAACTTATTCCATTTTGGCTTGAAAATGCATTTTAAAATCTCTCATTTAGGGCACTTTCCTTGATTATATTCAGCTTTATTGTCATTGTGCGGTGTACTAAGACAGTGAAATGCAGTGGAGCATCCAACCTGAAGTGCAAAAGCAGCAGTGGAGGGTATTTTATACAGTAGCTTACAGTATAAACATGTGGACAGTTGTGAATAAGTATGTGAATATATAGCTGTGGATGCAAAACATAGATAATCTAAATGTACAGGGTGGCATATAAAGTGGTACGAGCAGTATAAATAGTATGTATAATAGAAACTGTATGAGCAGTGTGATAGTATACATAATCTGAACTGTATGAACTCTAAACAGTATAATAGTACGTATAATATAAACAGTATAAGCTCTATAAACAGCATGAAGAATGGACACGATATGAATCGTTATTATGTAACTCAGTTATGTGTCATCTGAATTTAATCACTTTTAAGTTCCTTATGTGTGGAACCAGGTGCTGTGGTCCAGAAAAATATCCCCTTTCCCCCCACTATGTCCTAATTTGTCATCTTTACCCTGGTCCTGCTCTTTACAGGCCGTGGAGTACAACATCTTTGAAGGCACAGAGGTCCGCGGCGGGCCCCTGGTGGTGATCAGTCAGGGGAAGATCGTCCTGGAGGAGGGGAACCTTCACGCCACCGAGGGCTCCGGACGCTACGTGGCCCGCAAACCTTTCCCTGACTACGTCTACAAGAGGATAAAAGCTCGCAGCAGGGTATTCTACTCCCTTTGCTTGTGTTTTTTAGCTCATATTTGTATCGACTATCTATCAGGCAGCCACTTGTTATTATTGTACAAACCTTGTTATAGATTTTGTCCATTTTTCAGGCTGTTAAAGGTCAGATTTCGGTGCTAAAATGCCACAACACTGCAAATCAGTTTGACTTAAAAGTTGCTCCCCACGCTCCGTTTTATGATTGATAATTGTTTTGCAGGTTTTTAGCCGATGTTTCAGTGTCTTTTTTTTCCCCACGATGCAGCTGGCTGAGCTGAGGGGCGTGCCCAGGGGCCTGTACGACGGTCCGGTCTGCGAGGTGTCGGTCACTCCTAAAACCATGACTCCCGCCTCCTCGGCTAAGACCTCGCCTGCCAAGCAGCCCAACCAGCCCGTCCGCAACCTGCACCAGTCTGGGTTCAGCCTATCCGGTCAGTCTTACGCTGGTTGTTGCTGCTCTTCTTATTTAGTTTTTTACACAGTCACAGTTTAGGTTCATCCATCCATTATCTATACACCACTTAATCCTCATGAGGGTCATGGGAGGCTGGAGTCTATCCCAGCCGACTTAGGGCGAAGGCAGGGGACACCCTGGACAGGTCACCAGTCTATCAGTTTAGGTTCAGTTTAACTTAATTTTTAAAGTCTCAATTTCATAGCCCATTAAAACCACTGATGTTTACAAGGAGTCAAGAGGATTCTGGGATATATGCTTCACTTTCAAAGTAAAAGCTCAGAGATATTAAAGGCAATTGATTAGGGCTTGTGAAAAAATAAAATGAACTTATATATATTATAGAAAGGAATGGCACACGCAGAATTTCTTCAGACATTTTTTGGTTGCAGCTATTGTGCTACTGGTTCTTAAAGAAAACATACTGTTCTGTTTCCATTGTCTCTTTTCTTTTAGTGTGTTGCAGCTTTTTTGTGCATGTAAAAGGTCTGCAAACTTACAAAACCAACACCAAGAGGAGGAAACGCTGTTCTTTACCTGCTGTAATGACTCATTTAAAGTCTACAAGGCTTTTCTCCTATTACATATTTATGTCACCATGTAGCACATTTGCATAATTCCTGCCTAGTGGCTAGCGTGCTATGCCAACGAACAAAGGAAGAGCAGCTACCTCAGAGCTATATTGCTCTATTTATAGATCTAGGGTTACGGTATGCACCCAACATTTCCTTGCTTTTGTCGAGCCAGTTGACCAATCAGAGCAGGCTGGCTTTACAGAGACAGGAGCTAAAACAAGAGTTTCAAAGGATGAGGAAAGTTGGTGCAACGATGTGCAAAATTAGAAAAATTCTGTGTTTTTTTTAAACAATAAAACATGTAAATATATTCTAATAGTCCCTAAAACTAAAATTACAAGCCCGTAAATGTGCATCATATGGGCTCTTTAATATCATAATCATATGTAAACTACACTTCACCATCTTCAGATGTCACACCAGATTCATGAAAGGACCCGACTGAAACATTCCTTGAACATTTGAGCAGATTCCTACAAACAACTGGCTTATTTCATGACACAGTAGCATGAAAGTCGTGCAGAGTTCAGGCAGAGTTCAGCTTAATAACCAGACACATTAACCGGAGACCTGTTCCTCCCAGTGAAGAGCCGCATACTTTATCTTCCTTCCCCACTTGCTTTGGTCTGCTCTCGTGCTGTGCAGCCAACGCCGTGCATATATTTGGGTCTCTTTCAGCAGCTCTGCCTGCTCGGTCACGGATTTAACAATGAAATGAGGTGCAGCACAAAGAGAATGCTTTTTTTAAGGAGGATTACATTGCCAGGGAAGTGAGCTGAGAGAGCGCTCCTGCTTGCAAAGTAATCTGTGTAGTGAGCTTACCTGTTATTTCTCCAGTCAAACATTCTTGACAGAGCCGCTGGAAGCAGCACAGACTCGCTTATTTAAAGAAATGTAGGGAAAATGTACCCATAATACACCTGTAATGCAGAAATGAGAAAATAACTCGACACTGCACTCGCTATTCTGCAAGGATGAAGTCTTTTAGCTTGTCTTTGTTGTTATTACCAGATCAACATTTTGATATTTACACACATAGGTATATATAAATACATTTATTTATATATATTTAAACAACCTGAGTTGACCAAAGTACAGTCAGGCAGCAATAAAAAGAAATGCAAAAAAATCAGCTGGTAAAAGGCGACAAAAGTGTAAACAAACAGGGACAAGTTACAAGATCTAAGTTTAATTAAAATAATATATATATGTGTGTGTAAAGTACTAAAAGGCTTTTGAAAACATGTACGTCTTGAGCATTTTCCTGAAATTGTCAATAGAGGAGGAACTTTTTGTTCCAAAGATGGAGGCTAATCCAAAAGGCTCGATCAATACAGGAGTAGTGCTTTCCTTTCCTTTTTTCCTTTTGTTTTAATAATCATGCAACACTTGAATTATTTGCAGCACCTGCATTCTAACTTCTTAGATCTGGTGTTGACTTGCAGAATTTTCCTCTGCAGCTGTCTGTTATGACAAAGACCAGTGCCATTGTTTGAAAGGTATTAAAACAAACCCCTCACACCTGAAATATCAGGTTCTTGCAGATTTTAAACACAACCTTTATCAGCCAACTTTCTGTTTGACCCAACAGGTGCTCAGGTCGACGACAACGTTCCTCGCCGGAACACCCAGCGCATCGTGGCGCCTCCCGGCGGCCGGGCCAACATCACCAGCCTGGGTTAGAGCTCCGTCCTCGGCCGCCGAGGAGGAGACGAGGAGGATTCGCGGCTGGACGGCCGACGGGAGCTGCGGGGATCAAGAAGCCGAAAACCGGGGAACCGAACCCCTCTACAGCGCCCGACCGGGTCGTCCGTCAGCCTCTGTCTGTCACGCCCTCCTCCGCCGTTTCTCACCCACTCTCCCCCCAAAACCTGATACTAGAGGACACAGTTAGAAACAACAACAACAACAACAACAAAAAGGTCTGCCTCACATGATGACAAAAAAAAAGAGAAAAAAAAATGTAACACTCCTTATTTGAGCACTTTTGACGGCATTATTTTGTTTCGTTTTTTTTATACTGTACTTTCTCCCTGCCATGTATCCTTTGGATGTTTTGCTTTGCTGTTGTTTTCACTGAGGGTTCAAGTGAAACTGAATCAATACAGTTGAGAAAAGATGATCAAGTTCATGCAGGATGTCTGTTGTATTCTCCATTCTTTCCTTTTTACATTTTGGGAGCAGTTAAAATGGAGCGTTGGTACAAAACTAGAATGGTTCTGCTCTTTTGTTTATCCTGTTAAAACAAGCCAAACAGTTTATTCAGCTCCTTCTTTCAAGCTGATCTTTGATTTGTATTCCGGCGCTTCGCCCTCCGGTGGACTGCCATCTGTCGCACACCGCTAAGATCGACGTTTAATCGATCATTCGCCACGAGGACGGCCTTAAGATTTGAGAACTTAAACACAGTTGCAGCTTCGTTGAGGTACATTCATTGCGAGTCGGCTGGAGAGTCGAGAAGGAGCTTTGGCAGGTAGAAAATAGAGCTTCGTTTAGATTAGGTGGAAGAATAAGAGGAGAAGAGGAAAACAGAAAGTTGTAGTGTCACTTCAGCCTTTCCTTGCCTTACTGTCTCTTAACGCCGTCCTCTTAGAGAAGTGTGGGGAAGGTGCCATCCACGACGCAGCTACACATTTTCCGCTTTGTTTGCATTCCTGTGAATCACGAGAAGGTCCAAAATTTGTTCCGATGCCGAGCGCATCCCGTCCATCACCGACCAGTGCATTTACGTACAGAATGTTTTCTCCTCTCTCCTCCTAAATGTGACTGTTTTCTACTCATCCCTCTTTTTCCTTTCTACTCTTTATGTGCCTGAACCCACAGAAGTTGTACTGATAGTCTGATTTTTTCTTTTTTGGTTTTTGTTTTGTTATGTTGTTCTTTTTCGAGGTAAGTGGAAGGATGTAAGATAAAAAAAAAAAACACAAGAAAAAAGAAAAATGTAAAATAGCCAGGATTAACCGATTCAAAGGTGCCAGATTTTGCGCTTTCGTAGGGCCTGTCCTGCCGATAGAGCCCCTCTGTAAAGACGAAAAATGCTCGATATCTTGAAATGTTCTAATGTTTTAGAGTTTTTAAAACTTGTTGTCAATCTGCTTTTTAGTGTCATTCTGTAACTAGGTGCCTAAGGGCTGAGCACTATTGATTTTACGCTTGAAAGTAGACATGAGCTAATGTACTTCTGACTAGTGTGCAGTGTTGATGTGCGAGGGATGGGACACGCACAGCAGGCTCAAAGCTTACGGTTGTGGACGCTCTTGTTTCTTTTCTTTTCTTTTTTTTTTTCTTTTTTTTTGAAACACAATCTGGTTTCCATTAAGCCAAGACGAGCCGATTTCCTTCCTCTTGTGTTAACAAGGTCTTGGCCCCCAGTCACCATGTTTCTTCCTCAATAACTACGGACACAACAAGGGGCCAGTTACGTAAAAGTCAGACTAATTCTTAGAATAATAACATTACAGTAACACCATTATGTTTTTAAAAAGTTGGCTTCAAAGTTTTTTATGCAGCTGGCCCCTGACCCACTCACACATATACATACATGCACTTACCAGCCACTTTATTAAATACACCAGTAAAAGCTAACAGCTCCGCCATAAATTCTACAGTTTTTGCCGTCAAAAAGGTCATAATTCTACTTTATGTTTATCACTGAGGTAATAGTGGGTGGTGTTGGTAGTTTACCAGGCTGCATTACATTTAAAAGTCTTCTTCATATATTGCTCTGCTCATTTATGTGAATGCGGTGGACAAAATATTAAGAATACATACAATGACTAATCATTATGAGGCATTTTAGAAAAAATAACAATAAAAGGGAAATAAATGCAAACAAGCAGCCAAAATGGGTGCTTAATTAGCAAATCGTAGCATAGCAAAAGTATGCAATCAACAAGTATGCGGAATATAAAGACACCTTAAATTAGTAAATGTTGAACCTTTTAGATCTACGAGGTCAGAGCAGGTGAAAAATCTTTATTGATGCACCGCCCTGATGCATTTTACATCATAAAATGAGCTGGAGTTCATTGTTCACCAGGTTAAATAAGGCTGACAGAGCTGATAAAAATGGAATTATAACCCTTATGGCAGCAAAATATATTTAAAAAAGTGGAATTTATGGCGGAACTGTTGCGTTCATCTAATAAAGTGGCCTGTGAGCATAAATACACACTGTAGATACACCAACCGCTTCCCAGCCCCCAGAGCTCCAGACCTCCTCCCCCCTCTGACATAACCAGACGACTGTAGAAGGCGAAGTCTGTCAGCGTTACGAATGGTATATGTATTTAAAGAATCCGAGGCAGGCGAGGCGAGGAGGGAGAGGGGGGGATGTAACAAATGCATGTCTATGAAGCATTGGGAGATGACACGAGGTATGAATGGGGCCAAACTGGATCTCCACAGCAACTTACACATCACACAACCAGGGTTTTTTTTGTTTTTTTTTTTGTCAGTCAGGAGTGGGGAATTTCACCGTTTGCCTGCCACTGGAGTTCACTCACTGAGGTTTTCCTCTTTATTTATTTCCTCATCCTCCGACTCCTGTTGCTACCTGTTGGTTTTATTATTATGATTGCTGCTAAACTAAACCTGCACTCTGACCTTGTAGGTGAGGATAAAGTCCACTAACACAGTTTGGCAGTTTCTTTCACTCTCTACTCCCCCATCCCCCGTTTTTTTTTCTCTCCCTTATTTCTCTCCCTCCTTCCCTCCCTCTCGCCTCCCTCTGGCTCTTTGGTTGTTTCTGTCCGTTGCCGTGGCGACAGACCCCTCCACTCTCACGGGGTTCTGCTTCTTTTTTTTGTTTGTCATGGCAACGCTTGTCAGATCGGAGGTTGCCGTTAGCAACCCGTCCCCGACCTGGTGCTATTAGTACAGCTTTGTCTTGCACACACACACACACACACACACAGACTTTTTTAATTATTCTATTACAGTGCTTTCTGCACAACCCCGGTCGACTCCAGACTCCCCGTAGCTCCAGAAAAGAATCCATCAGGAGTGTAAAAGTGCACCGCAGACTACAGTAGACACACTAAACAGCAGACATAGCCGTGTCCCATGCCTCCTCAGTCCACACACACAGACACTAAAAACACACACCTATACTCCTTTAACGCTCTGTCAGCTTGGATGCTTTTTCTATGCCATATTATGCTAATGATATATGAGTGATATGTATAACGTGCTGCAGACTGAAAGAGGAGCTTCCTTCCGTTCTGAGGTCGCTGATGCTGTTGAAACACCTTCCTCCCATTCGTTGCCCCCTCTGTAAAGCCTGTCCTCCCTCCCTCTTCTCACCCCTCACCCCACCCCACTCCTCACCCTCTTCTTTGTGAAAGTGAAACCGTGTGATGGTATTTTGTCTTTGGTGGCTGTGGGGTTTTCTGGGATGCTGCTTGCTCACTACGGATCCCACGGATGGTGATGTAAAACGAAAAAGAAAAAGACAAAAAAAGAAAAAAAAAAAGAAAAGAAAAAAGAAACAACAAGGACTTCAAAGAATTAAAAAAACGAGAAAAAAAAAAGGAGTCGGATCTTGGTTTCTTTTTTTGTGTTTGACCTTTATGTGTGATGTTTCTGTGAGTCTTTAAATATGGAGGCACGACAGGAAATAACACCCGTAAGACAATCACTAACCTCAGTCTCACCTCCATTAAATCCAGTTTAAATCACTTTTTAAAAATAGAAAAGCAATGAATTTAAAGATATTAAACACTGCATGCATTCAAAGTTTTAACAAAGAAGCTGGGTCATCGCTGGAAGACATCAAATACTTAAAACTTTTGCACCAAAACACCATTTTTGGCTCAGTTGTAACAATATATTATATTTTATCAGTCATCCTTCAGCTGCATAGGTCCTACATAGGCTTATGCTTCAAATAAACTGCACTGACATGTCGTTTGACCTCATCTAAAGGCGAAAACAAGTGTTAACACTTGTTCTGAAAGGCCACAAGGCAGAAAAAAACCCAGAGTAGCTGCTGCCTCCGTTGGCAGCCATGTTTGGCGGCGACAACAAGCGAGGGCAGCGCGGACATGGCTCCTTGGCATCGCCACCGAACTTTATTTTAGTGCCGCCTTTTCAAGCAGCTTGTCGTGTGACCGCGGCAACCACAGAAACTGCAGCAAGGAAAGGATTAATGTGGTGACTTCACTGTATTACACGTCTTTAATACATTAATGTGGAAAGATAGAAAGACAGCATGTGAGCAACTTTAGCTTATGTTACCTGGTCTGTCACAATACAAGATGTGACGCTACTACAGGGTCATTGCATCTTAGATCATCACGTTTTTAGAAAGTAATATTTGTAGCATTAAATGTAGATATTCATAAAGATAATAGTACAATTCTAACTAAATATGTTGAGCACTTTCCAAGGTCTTTTCAAAATAAAAAAAACAACCAAAAACTCATTGACCTATGTTGACCTGTGTTTAGCGTGTTTTTTCACACATTGAAATTTAAGGTTATGTTTGAACAACAATATTTATTTACATTTTGAAAATCCAGGAGTTTCTTTTACTTGGATTAAGCTGTGTAGCAATAACTACTTTTATAATTTCATTTTTTTTGCATTTTATGTTGCAGCACAACTGATCTGCTCAAACAGTTAAGAAACTTCAATGAGTGTCATCGTTTCATTTTTGTGATCAAGTATTTCATATTAAAGTATTCCGTATGTTTAGTTTTGTGTTATTGTGACATTCAACTACATATAGTTGAGAAAATATCACTAGTTGACTTTTAAATTATATATTTTTTTGTCAATGTGAGCTCAAAGACGGGACTTTTCATGACGGTTTCATTTTATTAAATTTTTTTCATATTTAAACTTACCCATATTCTGACAATATTAATTATCTACTTGTCCAGTATTGTAGATTCTGAATCAATATCATGGTGAGAAATAACAGTGGAACTTTCAGGCGTTTATCTTCAATAGTTCCTGAGATATTGTTGTTCAAACAGCCTCAATTTTCAATGTGTAAAAATGTGCCTTAAGTGGATCGAGGGGCAATTTGTAAAATAAATCTTTCAGAAAACACTTGATATATTAACCTAAAATCCACAAATGTCATTTTATCCATCCCTAGTCTATGATTATAAAGTTTCAAGCAAGTTAGAGAGGGTCAAGCAGACGGCCTCTAATGATTTGAGATCTCAAATAACCAAATATTGTAATTGAGCCCTATTGCTGTAAGTTTCTCTATTTAGCTGCATGATGTGAATTTACCAACAACCTGAGGTGTGCATCTGTCCATCAGCTAAACCTGCTTTATCCTGCCGGTGCCACTCCATCACAGGTAACCAAGCACACTCACACTCACACCTTCTGCCACTTTAGAATCAGTAATTCACCCTCTTTGGACTGTTGCAGGCAGCAAAGCCTCCCAGGATCGGGGAGAGCATTCAGACTCCACACAGGAAGGCCCCACCGGGTTCAAACCCAGAACCGCCTTCCTTTCTCCCACCACTGCACTGCACCACCGCATGCTGCTGGGTGGCTGCGTCACCCTATTTTTAATGCTTGCTTTTGGAGCGTCTCTCTTTAAAGGGATTCTCGATGTGTGAAGGATGAAAAGCTGACACACCTGGCAAGCCTCTGTGTAAAACACTCTGCTGTCAGGGAGGCGGTTTAAGTCACATCGTCCTCCAACAGACAATTGAAGATGATAAGAAGCAGCGCTGCGGTGTCACTGAGTCACTGTTTTGACTGGAAAGTCTCGTCTTTAAGTCCCGTTCCAGACCTTTCTGTGCAGCGTGCATGTCTGTGTTTCCTAAAATAAGCAGGTTCGAGGACCTGGAAAGGCTAGATTGCACTTTGGTGTGAATGTATTTGCGTCTGTTAGCTCAGGGCACCTTCTGCTCAGATAGTCGTCTGCAGCCCTGCATAGGATGAAATCAGTTTGCTTATTAACTGATTCTTAAAGGAACAGACACGTTTAATCCATAACCTCCATGTCTGTCAGGAACTCCTTTGTCACCACACAGTGAATGCAGGACATCACCACTAGGAGCACTGCGTTAACTGTTTCTACACTAGGTGGCAGTGCTGCCATCTTGTTCACACACCTCTCGCTCTGTCACAGCATCCTGGGATTTCCTTTTTTTTTTTTTTCTCCAATAGGTGAGTGCAAAGAATTCTTCTGCTGCTCTTATTGTAAATCCCTCATGTTGATGCACCAACTGTCTGATAATAAAAATAATAATAATAATTCAAAAAACGCACCTCGGATTGGCACAGAGCCAGTGATGCAATCAAGATGTGGTGGTAATCAACAATCAACCTGATGGGGCTGTTCTCAGGAGCATTAAAGTGAAAATCCATCATTTCCTGTAACATAAAAGCGTTGCTTGACTTCAGAGGTGCTTTCATGTGCTCCCCTCTGAGGCACATGAAAGAATGTGGGGAAAGATGCCAAAAATATACTCTAAACGAACGAGCTGTTTGAGATTTAAATGAATGTGTTCCACAAGGATTTTTCCTCTTCAGGTTTAATCCTCGCCTACATTTTTAAAAAAGCAAGGCCAAACTGTAGCTCACCTGAATTTTCATGAGCTTCCTTCTCCGTCAATATGATTTTGATGTTTATCGTGTGTGTGTGTGTGTGTGTGTGTTCTGCCCACAGGTGGATTTTTTACATGCAGACATTCAGGTCTGAGAGGTTTATTCGCTGGTTTTTCACTGCAGCTCTTGGAAACGTCACGCAGAGTCCTCTAGTGGCCGCTTCATGTAAAGTTGATGTATCGTCTGACAACCATCTGAGTGACTTCCATTTATCCATCCAACTCACGCTGGGTGACAGAACAGGTCTATCACAGGGCTGACACACACAGTCAGAGACCCCAGATTATCTGCAGTTATGAATACACAATAAATATAAACAGTATTTAATCCTCTTTGGAAATTTTGACTTTAAAATAGGGCTGCAAGGTGGATCAGTGGTTAGCACTGTTGCCTCGCAAGAAGGTTGCCGGTTCGCATCCCGGTGAGGACACACGGGATCTTTCTGCGTGAAGTCTGCATGTTCTCCCCGTGCAGCGTGGGTTCTCTCCGGGTTCTTCCTCCCACACAATCCAATAACATGTT